GCTATCACCGCTTGCGTTGTATGTGTCAGGTACTTAAGCCTCTTCTACTTCATTAGATGACAGTTGTTATTATCGTCGCTTGCGTTGTATGTAAGGTACTTAGCCTTTTCTACTTCATTAGATGACAGTTGTTACTACCGCCGCTTGCGTTGTATGTAAAGTACTTAGCCTTTTCTACTTCATTAGATGACAGTTGTTACTATCTCCGCTTGCGTTGTATGTAAGGTACTTAGCCTTTCTACTTCATTAGATGACAGTTGTAACTATCGCCGCTTGCGTTGTATGTAAGGTACTTAGCCTTTTCTACTTCATTAGATGACAGTTGTTACTATTGCTGCTTGCGTTGTATGTGTAAGTTACTTAGCCTATTCTACTTCATTAGATAACAGTTGTTACTATCGCCGCTTGCGTTGTATGTAAGGTATTTAGCCTTTTCTACTTCATTAGATAACAGTTGTTACTATCGCCGCTTGCGTTGTATGTAAAGTACTTAGCCTAGTCTACTTCATTAGAATACAGATGTTAGTATCGCCGCTTGCGTTGTATGTGTAAGTCACTTAGCCTTTTCTACTTCATTAGATGACAGTTGCTACTATCACCGCTTGCGTTGTATGTGTCAGGTACTTAAGCCTCTTCTACTTCATTAGATGACAGTTGTTGCTATCGCCGCTTGCGTTGTATGTAAGGTATTTAGCCTATTCTACTTCATTAGATGACAGTTGTTACTATCACCGCTTGCGTTGTATGTGTCAGGTACTTAGCCTTTTCTACTTCATTAGATGACAGTTATTACTATCGCCGCTTGCGTTGTATGTAAAGTACTTAGCCTAGTCTACTTCCTTAGAATACAGTTGTTACTATCGCCGATTGCGTTGTATGTAAGGTACTTAGCCTTTTCTACTTCATTAGATGACAGTTGTTACTATCTCCGCTTGCGTTGTATGTAAGGTACTTAGCCTTTCTACTTCATTTGATGACAGTTGTTACTATCGCCGCTTCGTAATAATAAAAAACACCCGAGGTGAGCTAAGACTAGAAACCCTCCTGGATGGATGCCCGCAGAATCAGTCTAACGCCCTTATGTACAGGGATGTAGTGGCTCGAAGGTACAACGGTCAAGTTTAACTTATAAAACTAAACAACACACACAGGACGAGTGCAACTGATATAAACAAATAACACACACACCTGTGGACAGGACGAGTTCAACAATTAAAAACAAATAACACACACACAAAATACACACACCTGTGGACAAGACGAGTGCAACTAATGAAACAAATAACACACACACACAACACACACACCTGTGGACAGGTCGAGTGCAACAATACAAACAATACACACACACACAACACACACTCCTGTGGACAGGACGAGTGACAACTAACTACTAACAATACCACACACG